TGTGGTTACCAGGGGCAATGGGGGTAGGGGGTGGGCACAAGGGGTGAAGGGAGACATGTATATGGTGATGGACAAACAAAAATGTACAACTCAAAAATTTCACAATGTTATAAACTATTAAAGCATCAATTAAAAAAAAAAACTGGGCACAAGATTTGAAGAGAAATTTATCCAAAGAAGATATACAAAGGGCCAATAAGCAGATGAAAAAATGCTCATCAGTCATGAGGAAAATGCAAATCAAAACTACAAGGAGATACCAATTCACACCCATTAGGATGGCTAAAATAAAAAAGAGAGACAATAACAAATTTTGGTGAGGCTGTGGAGAAATCGGAACCCTCATACATTGCTGGTGGGGCTGTAAAATAGTGGAGCCACTTTGGAAAACACTTCCTTGAAATGTTAAACATAGAGTTACCAAATGACCTAGCAATTCCACTCCTAGGCACATACCTATCGGAGAGAAATGAAAACATATGTCCACACAAAAATTTGTATGTAAATGTCATAGCAGTATTATTTTAATAGCTAAAAAAATGGAAACAACTGAAATGTCCACCAACCGATGAATGGATAAACAAAATGTGGTGTATTCATATAATTGACTATTTGGCCATAAACAGAAATGACACACGGATACATACTACAACATAGATAAAACTTGAAAACATTCTGTTAAATGAAAACAGCCAGACACAAAAGGCCACATATTGTGTGGTTCTATTTACATTAAATGTCCAGGATAGGCAAATTTATTAAGACGGAAAGTAGATTCATGGATGACTACTTCCCCAAGTGGGGAAGCTTGGGTGGAAATGGGGAGTAACTACTAATGCGTATGAGGTTTCTTTTCCGGCTGATGAAAACATTCTAAAATTGATTGTGGTGATGGTTGCACAATTCTTACTAAAAAACATTGAATTGTATACATAAATGGGTAAATTCATTGTATGTGAATTATATCTCAGTAAAACTGTTTAAAAAATAGGTGTGTGGACAGGAAATTGAAAAGGATCGTGAAAAATGAAAATGCCTTCCTTTTGTATTTCCTTTAGTGTGACAGTGGATATATAATAAACACAAACTAGGGGAGACTGGGGGAGAATCCCTCAGTATTACTGTATTATTATTCTTGTTTTACTAGCAACAATGCAAGCTTCTCCCAGACAGCAGCTAGGGCAATCCCTCTTTTCTCCACCCTTCAGACATTTATTTCCACGTGCCTCAAACACAGGTGGCCTCTGACTCACGTGTGCCCATCCTCAATATCTGAACAAAAGGCAGAAGGAGAAGGAGCGGTTTACAGCTCCAAACTCCTATCATACAGCAGCATATTCTGCAAATCCCTCTGAAGTTGCCCATAGTGGCAGAGCCCTTTTGAGTATGTATGACAGGGGTCAGCTAACTACAGCCAACCCCCTCCAGGCCTGATTTGTAAGGCCCATGAGCTAAGAATGGTTTTTGCATTTTTAAATGGTTACATGGTTATATAAGTACCTTCATAATATCTTTGATTTCATCCTCTGGAACACAAAGCCCAAATTACTATCTAAGTTACTATTTGGTCTCTTAAGTTACTATCACCTGGTATCCTAAGTTACTATCTGGTCTCTTAAGAAAAAAATCTGCTGACCCTCTCTACTCCTTCCTAAACCTCAGCCAGGAGCAGAGCGGAAAGTCTGGACCTGAACAAGCATGAGACTCAGCCGGGGCCCAGCACCTGCCTTCGCTCCCGTCCGGGCTGCGCGGGGCAGCAATGGGCCGCCACCTCCTCCCCGGAGCCTGTGCTAAACTCTCGGGCAGGGGCTGGGCTTGGCGGGAGATGCTCCGAGGCTGCTCAGAGCCCCGCGGCGGGTCGGGTGGCCGTGCGGCGGGGACAGCCCCAGCGCTGGCGCAGGCAGAAGTGCCAGACCAGGGCGGCGCAGCTGAGCAGGGCCAGCGCCGTGCCCACGCCCACGGCTGCGTGGACCAGTGTCTGGGGGCTGGGGGGCACGGCCAGGCGGCCGCAGGGCCCAAAGGCAGGGCCCTTGAGGCCCTCACCGCCCGCCTTGGGCACGCTGCTCTCTCCTGCCCCGTTAGCGGCCACCACGCAAACGACATAAGCGCCCCCAGGCTTCAGTCCCTTCAGTTCTGCCCTGCGGACGGTTGAGTTGAGGGGGGGACCCTTCTGGGGTGCCCCGCTGCCTTCCCGAAGCAGCAGCCAGTACTGGTGGACCGGGGAAGAGGGGGCACACCAGTGCACCACCGCGAGGCCGGCCTCGGCCACCACGCGCACTTCGCCCAGGCGTGGCGGGTCGGGCGGCTGGGCCGGGCTGGAGAGGCCGGGGCACAGGCAGGCCGTTGGGCTGGCCCTCTGCAGCTCCTGGCACGGCACCTGCAGGTGGCGGCAGCGGTCGTAGTCACAGGGGACAGCCGGCAAAGGTGGCCACACTGTCTCATCTTCCTCCTCTTCCTCAGAGACTTGAGGGGTGAAGGGCTGCGCTCTGGGAACCAAGGAGAAGCTGACAGCCAGGAGCCACAGAAGGCCGGGAGAGCCCAGCATGGAGTCTGGAAGAGGAGGAAGCGGCTAGGTGAAGGCTTTTTTGTCCCTAGGCCTTCCAGGCCCCCACCCTTAACAAAACTCCTTGGGGCCAGGGAAACAACTGCGGACCAGGAGGAGAAGAGGAGAGAGGAGGGAATGAGACAGACACACTCATTTGTCAACCAACTTTTTTTTTTTTTTTTTTTGTGAGGAAGATCAGCCCTGAGCTAACATCCATGCCAATCCTCCTCTTTTTGTTGAGGAAGACCGTCCCTGAGCTAACATCCGTGCCCATCTTCCTCCACTTTATGCGGGACGCTGCCACAGCATGCTCTGAGAAGCAGTGCGTTGGTGCGCGCCCCGGATCCGAGCCCAGGCCGCCAGCAGCGGAGCGCGAGCACTTAACCGCTATGCCATGGGGCCGGCCCTGTCAATGGACTTCTGAACAGCCTATGTTTTTGGTTTGGGGCAAAAAAGAGTCAAATATGGTTTGAGGCGAGAGAGACAGATATGTAACCAGCAACGTAAGAAGCACTAGTAACAGTTAATGAATAAACACGGTGTGGGAGGCAGAAGAGGAGGAAATGGTTTACTGAGCCTGGGGAAGAAAGGTGGAATAATTGGCAGCTGCCACCCAGAGAAAAGATGGGAGTGAAACAAGGATCAGCCAGCGACACACGCAGAAACCCAGAAACGAGGCTTTAGTGAGAAAGAAGAAGAGATGAACAGAAGGGGGAAGTAAGGAGCCTGGAATCCTCACTCCCCACCTGTCGAAGAAGGCCTCATCCCGGCCTGTCCCACCTCCCCCCACTCCTCCCTGGCCCGCAGCAGCCCCTCACCAGTGGGTAGGCCTCGATGCAGCGGGAATCTGTGACCAGACGTCGGTGGGTATCAGGCCGAGGGGTCCCCAGGAGCACAGGCTGCGCAGTCAGGTTTCGTCGGTGTCTTCGATTTCAATTCTGTTTTGGCTCGAAGCTTTTATACCCTTCAACCGTGATGTCACCACCTAGCCCCCCCTTCCCCCGTGAATGCCAAGAACAGGGCTGCTCCCTTCAGAGGGCCTGAGTCACGGGGCCAGGGATGGGGGAAGCCACATGCAGCGGTTTCGGCTGGAGGCCGGGATGCCTGGGTTCTGAAAGGGGAGTGGAATGTGGAAAGCAGCCAGGAACTGAGAATCCAAAGACTGAAGTCATGTGAAGGGATGAGGAGGGGAGCAGAGGGGAGGGAGCACCTGGCTGGTATCAGAGAGGAAAACAGCTGTGGACAGCATGGGGCCTGGGCCGCAAAACGCTGTGTCGGTACAAATCATACCACATCCATGGCAGTCATTTCCTGTTTTGTGCCTCCCAACAAACAGAGAAAGGGAGGGGTGCAGAGGCCAGAATGATGTATCCCAGCTCTCCAGACCCGCCCTACACTATCCCCCTCCCCAGGGGGAGATGAGAGTCACATGGAGTAGGCAGGATAGGTTTTCTCTCCTTGTACTTCCTAGGCTTATGAATGGAAACAGCTGTGCCTAAAATAGTCCAGGGGCTGGAGGCCTTCCCCAGCAAGTGGTAGCCCCTGGTAAGACAACCTCCTCCAATCGGTGGTGGGGGATGCCCAGGGAACACAAGGTTTTCATCTTTTTTTTTTGGTGAGGAAGATTGGCCCTGAGCTAACATCTGTTACCAATCTTCCTCCTCTTTTTGCTTGATGAAGATTGGCCCTGAGCTAACATCCATGCCAGTCTTCCTCTATTTTGTACATGGGACACTGCCACAGTGTGGCTTGACCACCCGTGCATAGGTCTGCACCTGGGATCCGAACCCAGCCCTGGGCTGCAGAAGCGGAGAGCGCAAACTTAACCACTATGCCACCCGGCCGGCCCCTACACAAGGTTTTCAAATGGCCCTGAATCCATTTCAAAGAGTCAGGGAAGCAGCTGACACAAAAATAGTTTATTGGGGGAGTCACAGGAAAGGGGTCAGGTGGGAAAGGGCTGGATGTAGGGACTCTGCCCTGTTCTCTTTAGGAACTAGAGCAGGTGGGGCGCTGCCGGAGAGTGCCCACAGAGTGTTCGGAGCTGCCCAGAGTCTCTGGGGCAAGGGCAGCAGCAGGAGCAGGCAGGTTGGCCTCCGTCAGCAGAGCTGCATCTTCCCAGGAGCCTGAACCTGGGCCAGGGGAGGGAAAAACAAAATCCCAAATGGGAAATTAGATAACTAGCCCCACCGCGCGATGTGGCCTCCTCCCTACCCACATGCCACCCCCACCCTGCATGGGTACTGGTGCAGGGTGTCCCTCACCATCACTGGCCTCCGGCTCTAGCTCCTCCTCTCCACGCAGGGGCTGCTGATCTGGTTTCTCCCCATCAGACAGCTGGCCCTCTGCAGCCACAGGGGGAATACAGAGGTCAGACTGGAAGAGGCTGGCGGGGAGAGCTAGGAGGAGTCTGAAGGGAGGGAGGGCTGAGGTACCATACCTGCCCCTGCGTGATCTTCAGGGCTCTCACCGTCCTCTGTAATATCCGACAGCTGGGTTGACTCCTCCTGGTCTTGGGACCCTGTGCCTCCAAAGGGGGTAGAGGACAGGACAGGGCTAGGGTGGCTGTGCCGGGATGGTAGTGCCAACTCCACCTCCTCTAGCTTTTCCTTTGACCCTCAGCTCAGTGATGAGTGCCTTAAGCCTCATACTGGAGATGCAGGAGCTCCTTCTCACTCAGCCCTCAACCATCACCTTTACCTGGCTGATGGGCAGAGATCCTTCGCTGGACTTCCTTTCGGGAACCATCTCTTTTTCGGATGTTTACCTGGGGAGGAGAAACTACTGAGCGGCAAGGACTGACTTCCCTCACCAGTGATCAGGGCCCTTACACCCTGTCCCCAACATGCCCCGGCCCTCTCCACAGTCAAAGAAGGATCACGAAGGGGAGGGGGTCCTTTTCAACCTGCAAAGAGAAGCGGTGTCGGGGCCAGATGCCCCCCCACACCCACTGCATGTAGCTGAAGAGCACGATGACGCTGAGGAAGGTGAAGTTGCTGGCGACACCTATGAAGGCGCAGGTCATCGGGAAGTTGTACAACAGGTACCTGAGGCAGGAAGTAGGGACAGGAAGGGAGTAGCAGTTTCTGGAGAGCACTAGCCTTTTCATTTCCCAGAAATAAATTCTAGGGCAATTCAAATGAATTTGGCTAGAGTCGGCCTCCACCTCCTCTGCCTCCCGCTGGCTGAGCCAATGATTCAAGACAATAGTTCTCAACTTTGGCTGCACATCAGCCTTCCCTAGGGTGCTTTTAAAAAGTCTGATGACCAGATATGAACCTAACAAATTCTGGTTCAGCTGGTCTGGGGGTGGGGCCCAGGCTCTGGTATTTTTTAAAAGTTCCCCAGAGAACTATATGCTAATGTGCAGCCAGGGTTGAGAACCTGTGGCCTATGTAAAACCTGTTCCCTCTGCTTAGAACCCTCTTCACTTAAGGACCCATGAGAGCTGCTGAGGCCCACTTCAGGGGTTCCTCACCTGAGCCCAGTGAAGTGGGCATGAATGCGGAGATAGGCTCCGTACATCTGGATGCGCTTGCTGTGGATCTCGATAATTGCTCCGGTGGTCGGTACATACTGCGGGGGTGGGGTGGGGTGGTAGCAGTGTCAGGCCAGGATCCTGCTGCTGTCACTCTTACCAGCGCAATCTGAGGCCCACTTCCAGCTTCTGTTGCTGTACCTCCTGACCGAGCCCAGAGGCTCCTCAGGTAGAATTCTGGGCTTATGGGGAGGGCGGTCTCCTAGTCCTCCTTCACCCCCCTTACCGAGTTCTCTCTGTATTCCGGGTATAGCTCCACCTCCAGGACCTGCTTCTGCTCTGCAAAGCCAAACAGCAGGAGGCTAGAGAAGACCAGCGTGTCAAGTATCTGAAGCAGGTCTGAGCGGTAATGCAGCATCACCTGTCAGGGCCAGGAGGGAGAGGTTGGGGAGCCCTAGGTTCCTACGGCCCAACTCAGCCCTCAATCACCCCTGTGCAGTCTACGAAGGCTGCTGCTTCCTCAGGTTCCCTGCCCTCACTTTCACTTCCTGCCACACCCCCCCATTCCAAATGCTGGAGTGACATCCCTGCCCTGCCCTGCCCTACCACATGTCTCTATTCAGGACAACAAAGGCCCCTCTTCTAAGAAACGTTCCTGTGGTTAAGCCCAACTCTGTCTCTGATCTACCTTTCCCCCAAATAGTTCTAGAATCCAGAACAGACTAAGTCCCAGTGACCATCTGAAACTTTTTTCCCCATGTAGACATTCAGGAATTTGCTTCATGATTTTTTTGTTGGTTCTGCTGACAATTAAGAATGGAGTCTAGGGCCGGCTCCGTGGCTTAGCGGTTAAGTGCGCGCGCTCTGATGCTGGCGGCCCGGGTTCGGATCCCGGGCGCGCCCCAGGGCACCGCTTCTCCGTCCAACGCGAGGCCGAGTCCCACGTGCAGCAACTAGAAGGATGTGAACCTATGACATACAGCTATCTACTGGGGCTTTGGGGGGAAAAAAATGAATAAATAAAATCTTTAAAAAAAAAAAAATGGAGTCTAACATTTATTGAACACCCACTACGTGCTATAATAAGCACTTCACATTTCCTCACCGAACCCAAATTAGTCTTGCTATGAGGAGTTACTATTATAACTGTTTATAATATCTTACAACCAAGGGGTTAAGTTAGTTGCCCCTCAGCTAGTCTGTTTCTGGGTGAGGATTTGAGCTCAGGTCTGTCTGGCTCTAAAGAAGCCCCTCTCTTCAGAGCGGCTCCAGGCTTTAGATTTTACCCCAAAGGTGGACGTGCCCATCAGATATCTGGGGGTGTTTGTCTGGTTTGGTAAACTGACTCCTCTTCCCTATCCTGACGGGTCTGTGACTTCAGATCCAGGACGTTTTTTCTGAAGCCCCACCCAGATAGTCTGACGTCCGTCATCATCGTCCACATCCTCCCAGATGGGCCATGAATACTTACGGAGCGTGAGGAAGTGGAAATGACTCGGCCACCTCTGGTGTAGCATGAAATGGTGACCAAGAACATGCCCAGCTCTTGATTGACACGGGACTCTGGCAGCTCAAGCTCTAAGGTAACGCGGTACGGCTGTCCATACATCAGCACCTGCCCAAGGGAGCCCCATCTCTTCAAAAAATCATATTTCTTAATCGTACTGTCCCTGTTCCACCTCCCCCAACCCCCTCCAAATACTCTGCCTTGACCCCCTTGGTCAGCACAACCGGCCTCTCAATCGATTTCATCCTGAGAAGGTGCTGCCCCCTTCTGGTAGCTGGGTCCCTCCCACTTTTGATCTCTGGTATCCTGTTGGCTCTTCTGAATCAGACTCCAGTGGCTCTGCTCTGACAAGGGCTGTGTCCCATTTCTCTTCCAACAGTGAACCGTCATGTTGTCAACTGGGCCATCTGTGACTCAGGCCTGGCCCCGTGGGGCCATCCCCTCCGGCCCAGCCTGCCTTCACTTATGTTATTAATTAACCAAGTGCCAGAAGGGCTCACCATCTCCCTAGGCGGCTCTCGCACACTGTAGCTCCAGATCACCTTTTTTTTTTTTTCCCCCTGTGGGGAAGATCAGCCCTGTGCCAACATCTGCCAATCCTCCTCTTTTTGTGCTGAGGAAGACTGGCCCTGGGCTAACATCCGTGCCCATCTTCCTCCACTTTATATGGGACGCTGCCACAGCATGGTTTGCCAAACAGTGTGTCGGTGCGCACCCAGGATTCGAACTGGCGAACCCTGGGCCACCGCAGCGGAGCACGTGCACTTAACTGCTTATGCCACCGGGCCGGCCCCCAGATCACCTTTATGTCATTCTGGGTCCCTTCCTTATCTTGTTTCTGCTGGTAGAACCCTGAGACTCATAATAGAAAAGCTTCTTTTCTTTTTTTTTTTTGGTGAGGAAGATCAGCCCTGAGCCAATCCTCCTCTTTTTGCTGAGGAAGACTGGCCCTGGGCTAACATCCATGCCCATCTTCCTCCACTTTATATGGGACACCTCCACAGCATGGCTTGACAAGCAGTGCATCGGTGCATGCCCGGGACCTGAACTCGGGCCTCCAGCAGCAGAGCACGCGCACTTAACCACTAGGCCATGGGGCCGGCCCCAGAAAGGCTTCTTCACTGGGATTAACCTCAAAAGGTTAAAGATTTGCCACCAGACATACCCTAGTTTTTCTTGATCATTCCTATATTCCTCTAATCCTATATTCAGCATTCTTATCCTGCAGCATGACCCCCTCAGGGTGCTATATAAGAATCACAGGGGTGATGGTAAAGCTTTTGTTTTTAACCAAGGAGGGAATGGAGTAAAAAAAGAAAAGTTGAAAAATATTGCCCTAACCCATAGTGAACCAGCTCTAAAATCCGGATAT